CATTATTTTTTGAGCACTATTAATGCACACCTACTCAAATAATTGACTTTACAATCTCTATTGACTCATTCATTGGAAGGGGAATATAGTTTGTGCACACAATGGCTGCTAGGGTCTGAATGTTTGTGTTCCCCCCAAAAATTCATATGTTAAAACCTAATCTACAATATGATAGTATTAAGAGGAGGGGCTTTGGGGAGTTGATTAGGTCACAAGGGCAGAGCTCTCATGAATGGGATTAGTGCCCTTATACAAGAGACCATGGGGGAGCCCTCCACCACGTGAGGATACAGTGAGAAGGCACTGTCTGTGAACCAGGAGGTGGGCCCTCAACTGACAGCAAATTTGCTGGCATCTTGATTTTGAACTTCCAGCCTCCAGAACCATGAGAAATAAATTTCTGTTGTTTATAAGCCTCTCAGTCTATGATATTTTGTTATAGCAGCCAAAGTGGACTAAAACAATGGCATATGGATTTGTGTGTCCCACTAAATAATAAAAGGGGTATCATCTGACCTGAGTTTATGTCAAAAGAATATGACTATTGTTTATATTTTTCTAGGGATATGGAGTTGAACAGAATACAGTAGCAAAATTGACTTAAGAAACAGAAGGCCTGAAAAAAATGTATAATTATTACAGAAACTGAATCAGTATTTGAGACTTTCCAACTCCCCCCAACCCCCAACCATGTTTGTCCTTCTTTGCTAAAGACACCCACCCAAGATGTTTTCATTGATGAGGTGGCTAACCACTTCAGGAACCAATTGATCTCTATTCTCTGAAACAATATGCATCAAATACAGAAATAGAGAAAGCCACCCAGCTCATTCTGGGAGTAGCATAATCTTGATAATAAAACAGTACAAGAACAGTGCTAAAAGAGGAAATTACAGGCCAGTAACACTTACATAAAAAAATTCTGATATTAGATCTGCAAACTCAGCAGTATATACATATAAACAGATTATGACAAAGTAGGGTTTATCCAGGAATATAAGGAGGATTCAACATGACAAAAATCTATTCAAATAATACTCTACATTAGAATTTTAGAGGAAGACAAGTAACTCAAGTAAGTTATATAAACTTAATAAATGTAGTTATGAAAAAATTTGAACAACTTATGAATAGAATTGCCTTAAGAAGAGTATTTTCCAAAAACCTATGGTAAAAACAATATGCTTAAATGAAGTGATGAAACTCCTCCAGTACTGATTTGTTTTAAGCTCTAATCATTGCCTACACAGAAAATAGAAGGATACCCATTTTTACTTTTAATTTTGTGTTACATTGGTTAGGACTTTTCTTAAACTGTTAAATAAAAGAGGTGATAGAATTCCTGCTAGAGCTGTTTCCATTGCTGCATAGAAGCTCAATTGATTTTTTAAAATATTGAATTTAAATTTGGCAATTTTACTGAACTCTCTTATTCAAAATGATATGGTTTTCTTCCTTCTTTGTGGCTTTAATTGATTATGCAACCTATAGTTTGTTTTTTTTTTGTCTTTTTCCGTGTCCGGCATCGGATCGCAACCCTCAGTGTCGCCCCCGTACCGGACCGAGACCAGCAACGGGATCGCAAACCTCGGCGTTGCTCCCGCGCCTCGCTCAGCCAGTGAGCGGGAACCGGTCTGTATGTGGGATCCGAACCCTCGGGTGGGAGCGCCGCCGTGCTTCCCAAGCGGCAACCTATAGTTTTTATTGTTATTGTGAATGCAATCTTTTCCCCAAAATAAAGGGAATCAATTATAAAATGTTAGTGGTCTGGCACAACTTCATTTTCAAACAAATTACCAGACTAAACAGAGATAGCATGTTCCAGCTGATACCAGTTTTCCTCAAATGTTTCTACAATTTCAATGTTCTTACTATCAGAATCTCAACAAGGTTTGACAAACAGATTTTAAAATGCACATGGAAGAAGAAAGAGCCAAGAATGGCCAAGACCATCACTACAGCTGTGTAACATGTGCTATTGAAGTTCTCCCCACTGTATATATTTGTGTCAATAGTAAACTGTCTTATTGGACTTAACTTTGAAGAAGAATCACAATGTAACGCAGCAGCACACAGACCCAGCTGCAGACACACATTTATGAAACCTGGATGTATGGGGGGAGTGTTACCTACAGGGGAAAAGCATGGACTTCCCAATAATGGGTGTGAGCACAAGTGTGTAAATAATACACTTGGAATGGACTTTTGTGAGGATGTGGGTCTAATACAATTCAGGTTTTTTTTTTTCATATAGAAAAAAATCATATCTTTTTGAATAAGATTTTTACAAGGCCTTTAACTGATAGCTTGTAAGTTATTATGGTCCCCACCATAATAAGTGGATGTTTATTTTTATTTTTAATATAATATTTAACCTAAAAAAAAAAAAAAAACTATCTTTTTGACTTCAAGGTAGGGAAGAACTTCTAAAATAAAGCACAAGCAGCACAAAATCTGAAAGAAAATCTTTTTATGAATGAATTCTTAAGAGTGTCTATGTTTTCTTCTGAAAATTTAAAATGGAAAGTTCAGGAGTAAAATAGACAAAAGACACCAGCATGCCATACAGAGGAAATTCAAATGTCCAGTAAACATCTGAAAAGGTATACTGTCTCATTAGTAATTATGGAAGTAAAAGTGAAAACAATACACTGCTTCTTTAAGGTTTAAGATTAGCAAATATTACACATCGTTCCTGTTTCTCTGTATGTTTACCACCTCTTACCAGACCGTTGCCATTTCACAACCAACACATAGACGACTGCCATTTATACTTGTCCGGCATGCTGCGGCCCAGCGTGTTAGCATGTCGGTCAACACACTCTTCTTCTGCACTCACACGTGGTGTGGCTGCAGAGCCCTTTGCGAGCTTGTGCGACTGGTTCTGGGTGCTGGGCTGTGACTGGAAGTGCGGTGCACTCTTTCCCACCTGTGCAAGATCCTCTCCCCTTGCTCCTTCCCTGTCTCAGTAATGGAGACACCCAAGTGGTCCAGATAATGCAGCCACAAGATGGGCCCCTCCATCAGCCCAGCTCCCTGACACTCTGGGGGACCCATGGTGGACATGTAGTGTGAATGGGAAATGAACATATGTTTGTTTGAGCTACTAGGACTGCAAAATAAACAAATGATAAATAACCTCAAAAAGTCCCATGTGCAACTGTTTGTCTAGAGACTAGAACTGCTCAGCATTCATTCAGAATCTGGCACAGAACTGGCATCCCGCTAAAGTGAGTTAGTGAAGCCTAGCCTCGCCTCATTTTAGATACATAGACAAAATCCATAAAGGGCCATGACAATCAACTGCGTTGTATAATGATAAAAAAAAAAAAAAATTCAATGCTTCCCATCAAGCTCAGACAAGCAAACCAATATACAATACAGTATGCTTTCCTTCTCTTATACTATTTGATATGGTAGCTACCAGGGATATGAACACTTGATGTGGCTGGGGTGACTGAGAAACTTAATTTTTAATTTAAACTTAAAAATAAAAGCAGTATAAAATATTTTTTCATTAAAAACTTTAGTGTTTTGGTAGGTTTGCTTTTAACTCAAAATTTAGCATCAAAAATTGAAACATGCTGTATATGCAAAATACAGGGGTACTTCAAAAAGCTTGTGGAAATATTTGTATTCTTTCAATTCTATTTTTTCCACGAACTTTTTGAAGTACGCTTGTACACACCAGATTTCTAAACTTTGGGAAAATAAAGTTTGGATCAATACATTTTGGGCTGATTTGAAAGACTTAAATATTTTAGATGTACTGGGTCAAATAAAACATGGAATTTCACCTGTTTTTCTTACTCTCAACTGTGATTACAGATTGGCTTACACTGTTTCTATTTGGACAGTGCTGCTCTAGACTTAGTCTAAATTCCTTAGCATGGCATCTCATTCCAACCAGTATGCCTGATGGACATTGCAATCTTAAAAAAGCAACTCATACTGAGAGCGGCCAAGGCAGCAAGGGCTTTACAGATACGAGGGGGTAGCATGGTGCTCCTGCTAAAAGTCCTATACATGACATGTCATTCATCCTTATGTACACCTGGTGTATCAGGTGTTCTAATCTTCCTGAGCTTACGTTTTCCTAATAATTTAGTGTGTACAAGTGACTGCCACTTCCTAGCTTTCTGGCCTTGAAGTCACATCTGCCCAAGTTCCTATTCTATTCAGCACACTACAGCCAACCCCGGCAGTCCATGCCTAACACACATCCCTCTTCAGGGTCCCACTGCCTCACCTGATCTCTACTCTCCACTAAATGACTACTGCCAACGGTGACAATTTAGACTAATCCCATAGGGTTCAAGGATGATGATGATGACTCATTTCAATTCAGATAGTAAATTAATCAATCAAATTGCTGAACTTAGGCAACTCACATTTTTTCCTCAGGGTCTGCCAATAATTATCTCAATATTATCTCCAATTCTCCTTTCCATTTTTGACTCCTCGGGCTCTGGGAGAGAGATGAGGACATTAATCATACAAATATCCTCATACTCCTTCCTCCCAAACAGACCTGGAATCAAGTGTAAGGGATCAATTATATCTGGGGTGATGACATCAACAGTGCAACCTCACTCACACTGGCCAGCAGGCTCAGCAACTGCTTGGGAACTCTTCCACCCAAACCCACCTCCTACTTGAGAGGCTAGACATGGAAGGCAGGTTAAGTGCCCACACACCTATCTGCTGAGGCCACTGACCATGGCAGGAAAATTGATGCTGCTGTCCAAACCCACAGCTATTGTGAATTTCAGCCAAAGCAAAACAAGAAAGCAACCTGGACTCCAATCAGGGTATGCCTCATTAAGCAGCAGTGCATCTTATTCAAAATATGCCCTGTCCGGTAGAATTCAAAACGCCTGTGTTGTGTGGAGTAATGAGCTTGCTTGATGTGATTCAGAAATATATCATACCAGATAGGCTGTATAATGAACCACATGGGTAAGCCACCTTGCTTAACATTTGAAATGAAAAGGCAGAGAAAATTTTACAATTGCTTTATTTAACAAAATTTACGCCAACTTCTATATCTATATACAAACGTGTTTCAAAACCAGAGCAGCAGACACACAAACTGTTAACACAGGAATTATAATAATGCTTAAAACATGTTACACAAAGTTTTGTTTTCTGCTCATATAGACATTTACAGATTCAAAAATTATTTCAAAGGCTGAGCAGCATCACATCTTCATTTTCTGGGATGGCTTATATAAATGTCCTAAAGGAGGGATGGAGCTTTTGAAGGTAATACATTGTGTTCAGTTTAGTTTAACAAATAGCACTTGGCCCATGACAGGGGCTCACAAAATGTTTTGGACTAGGGATAAGAATTTGAATAAAATATAATCTATTAGAATATACTTTGAGTCAGTGTTTTTATTCTTTTTTATTTTTACTCTATTTGTCTATATCATAAATACAACAAAATCGTCTCATTTCTGGCCCCCCAAAATAAGAAAACTTACATTAAAAAATAAATTTAAAGTAATTTTATTAGTACTGCTAACAAAACGTAGTGACTGGAGGTCCTTCCAAATCAAGATAAGAGTATACAAATATTCAACACAGTGTTCTGCCCTATACCCTCCAATTTTGTTAGAAATGTGTACATTTCATGACACCTACCTACATGTTAACAAACTGTTTTCTAAATCTATTTAGGAAAGACAGCCACTTTTGCTCTCCCATTTTAATGACTTCCAGGAACCCTCTTAATTCCTTAAAAAGCATTATAGTTCTGAAAATCCCCAAAAGCTTTGCTTCATATCCTACTCACAAAATTCAGCTTCATATAATTACATAAGTTGTGTTTTAGATAATACTTGAAAAATAGCTGATGCTGCAGAGTGTAAATATTTCATGTTGACACTTAACACTGTTCCTGATTTCTAGCCTTTCAGGAAAAAGCTGCAAGTGCTGAGGTATTGAAGGAGAAAAAAGAAAAAAATAATCACAGCCTTTCTTCTCTCCACATTTTAGGAACTTTCTTTGATGCTGAAAGGGTATAAGTCTGTAACATGAATAAAACTTCAGGATGCTCTCCTTTATGTAGCAGTGTGGTACACAAGACTCATTTCCCAAAAAGCAACAAACAAAAATGCACGAGGACTAAATGGTGTAATAAAATGATCCCTAGGGGGTTTCTACTCTAGTTTATTCATATAAACCAGACCCCATCACTTACTTTGCTTTCTTTTTCTAAAATGAGATCAGACTATTATAAAAATGTACTCCCAAAATAAATTTCTAGAATATAAAATGTTTTGCATTTTTCATCCTACATAAAATAGGAAATCAGAAAATTAGCTACTGCAATTTTCATATTGTAAAAAATATGTGTACACACATATATAAAAAAACAAGTTTTAAGTTTCGATAAAAATTAACCAATTAATCAATTCAATTATCATGTATTGAATTATACATAATACATGTTGATTATCTGTAATGAGAACCAACTACAAAGGACTACAATCCCACCTATCACAGGATAATTAAGACATTCTCATGTGAAAAGAAAAATCACGAAGTCTCCAATTGACTATCCAATACGATAGAAATCACTGGTATCCTATTCAGATTTAACAGCCCCCCCACCCTCAATTCATTCTCTGCACCAATAAATCCCCTAAGGAGGGAGCAGTCCCTGGAGGGAGGAAAACGCCAGCTGGGGCTGCCTTGTGGCTGGGCCACCTGTGTTCTGTGTGACAGTCGGTGCCTGGCCGTGTGGGCAAGTGAGGACTAAAACCAAGTCTTGAGCTACATTTTCCAAGCCATCTGTCTGCCCGAGAAGCTGCACCTGTGCAGAGGGTGGGATTTTTTTTTCCAATGTGCACAAAGGTGGTGTATAGATCAGTAAAGTCCTGACATTGCAGGGACAGAGGGGGTGTGGAAAGTGTTCTCGGAGTTGCTACCTAGGAAGGGCAAGCAACAAGGAAAGCAGGTCTGTGGCTGAGAAACATCAGAGCAGATTGCTACTAGCAATAAAAACCAGGAATAGCTTCCTAAAACTTGAGCAAACACAGTGGAACTTTCCATTTTGTTGATTCCTGCTCATTTCTAGTAGTCTAATAAGGGAAAATCTTAAGGGGCCTTACAGGCACAGAAGAAAAGGGACAGGAAGTGAGCAAGGAAGCAAAGGAGGCTAAAATCCGGCGCATGAGCTGTAAGTGATCAACAGGAGCAGGCAGCTTCCGCCAGGTCTCGGACGGGTTCCCAAATGAAAAGTCACATTAAGTCCCTTTCACTTCACAGGCCTACCTCGAATTGTCTTCCCAAGTTTTATTTACTTTGTAAGCCTGTTCCATCACATTTTAAATTGGTCACACTTTATGTTTGTGGGAGTGGAAAGGGCAAAGAGACTTAATTTTAGATATTTTCCTTCAGTAACCGTCTTTTTTTGTTGTTGTTGGCAAAATGGCACATTCCCTACCCAACTGTAATAAATCAAGATATTTTAATAGAAAGCAAATCTAAAAACTTGAAAATGTTTTCTTTCTTCTCCTAACACCTGTTGTTGAAGTAGTAAATTCAGGCAAACCCTTGAAACCATTCCGTAAAATGGGTGACAAAAGCAACTCTCCGTGCTGTAGGGAACACTTATGAGTATTACAGAGTGGGGGAGGGATTTTTAAAATGGCCATTTTTCTATAACCAAATTTAACATAACAAAGCAGAAAATATAATTTCCATCATGTACCAAATACTCAGGAGACAAGTTAAAGCCAAAACAAAAATGGACGTGTACACACTAAAACAGGTTTAATTCTTAAGTAGCATTTATATAAAGAGCATGTGTAAAACATTCTTGCTCCTTTGAATGGATTACAAAAGATTTGTATCTACTCAGAAAAAGGAGTACTAAACAATGAAAGATTTCGGATCCCACTGAAAAATCTGTTGAAAGTTTCACATCCTCTCTCCAGAACAATACATGTACATCGATTGTGCGTACAATTTTAGAGGCTTCAAATACCTTCCGAGGTCCAATCACGTATCTCAGGTTATGACCCCTGGCTCTCGACATTCCTATAGGGGATCTTAAGAATTAACAATCCTCTCATTGCTACAGTCTGTATTTCTCCTATTGAGTCTGGTGTGGGGGGACCCTAAACCAGAATAAACTAAAAGAAAAACAACTTGCTTCAAAGACCAATTTTTTTACTTATTTGCCCTTGGAAGAAAGAACATCCCAGTCTCTGGTGGCTTCTATCAAATGCCGCTGGCCGTGACTCATCCACTCTTCCTGGTCTTCGTACAGCCGCCCACAAAACCAGCATTTAAACATACACTGTGATGAATCATCAGGCAAGGAATCCACTACCTGGTAGTTGTTTTTATGAACTTTTTTCAGTTTCATTTTCAACATCATTTGTCTTTTAATTTGATTGGCTTCCTCCACATTCTGGTAGGTCAGCCGCACATGATGCCGCCGGATGCCCAGCTGACACCTAGTCCTCTCAGATAAAACAACTTTGAGGACATTGCCCTTGTACTTATTTATCACCTTCATCACATTGGTCACTTCTGGTGAGTCCACATCAGGATGGTTTAACACAATGACCGGCTGGTTCCGACGGGGGCATTTAATCAACTGATCTGGTTTAGCTGCTATCAGTCGAAGCTGTCTTGCAACCTGAAAAATCGCAGGGTCCTTGAGACAGCAGCTGGGGTCAGCCTGAATCTTGTTCTTCTTCTTGGACACGTTTACTAGTTTGGCTTTATTCCTACCTATAGGGACACTTCTGGACAGCAGCCTGCCTTGCTTCCTCAGTTCACTGCTTCCTTGCTGTCCCTGCAGGGGGCCGGTTTTTTTAGGGGTGGTGCTACAGATTGCACCCTCTTTTCTTGGTTTAGGCTGAAGAGATGCCTCAAGATTTTGGGACATGTCTATTGGCCCACTCTCACTTGTCAAAGGCTGTAATCCGGAGTCTGTCTGTTTCACAGGGCAGAAGGGGACTGGTTTTAACAACTGTGTTTCATTGCAAGGTATGCTGACAGGTGCTTCGCAAGTGGCCTCTATAATGTGGGCATCCTCAGAAGAATTAAGAACCCTCAACACAGCCCCTTTGGGGATCAACACTGGAGTAGCAACATGAGCCTTCCCAGTCACCCTGTTTTCGGTTTTCCCATTGCTGCCATCAACAAACTGTGGATATATTTGCTGACGAATAAGCTGTCCATTTCCTGTAACACCACCAACATTCTGAGGTTTTTGGAGAGTACATGTGGAATAGCCAGGGCTAGTGAATGACACATTTATTTCCTGAATACCTTCAGGAGTAGCTTTCGAAGTTGCCTTTGACACCTGCCCCACAGAACGACGATGTGCACTATTTGCAGCCAAAGATGAAGGCTTGCCACAGGATTCAATTAACTGAGCTATCTTTCTGCGTAACAGTTCAATTGACTTTATTTTGGACGTTGAACTATTCCATTTAATGCCCTCAGGGACATTTTCAGATCCAGAGCTCAGAGAAAATACTGATGAAATGACCGGGCCATCAAAAGTGTCACTAGTCCTTTCCAAATTCTTTAATTCCAAAGGTTTATCCCCAGGCTGATGAGATCTACTTCTATCGTCCCCTGTTATATTTATGTTAAAATACTCACTTTTATGTTGAGAGGAAAGCTGGCCTGTATTTGAAACTGCCTTGGATTCCTCTGTCTGGTTATCTTCCAGCTTCCTATTAGAGGGAATCATTTTCACAGGAATATTGATCTTACTTCTAGGTTCCAAGTCATTCCTACTTGCAGGCAATAAGCCCTTTTCCCCAGAGAAGGAAACAGTCGCTGGTGAAGCAGCAAGAGGAAATAGCTGCTGTGCGTCACTGTGCAAGTCTCTTCCACCTTCAGCAAAAGAAACAGAAGCTTTATATGGAAAAGGGTCTAATGCTGCTCCAAGACCACATAAAACCCTGTTTTTTACTAGAGATGCTGGAGAATGACTTTTTAAGGCAATGGAAGGAAGAGAAGTTCGATGTGGATACAGATATTTATCCTGCAACTCCTGAAATGTATCGGAATTGAGAGATGATTCTCCATGGTTGTGCATACTAGAATTTGACATTAAAAAATCATAAGACCGTACCCATTTCACATTTTTTAGTTGCTCCTTAACTGAAGATTGAAGATTATCAATGCCTACAAGTTTTCCAACATTCCCTTCAATGGTTAGTGACTTAGATTTTTCTGCAGAAACTATTTTTTCTGACTCATTTGAACCATTCTTTTTAGTCATACGCCCAGAATGACTTCTATCACCCCTGCCAGCTTCAAGGGAGTTGTTCTCTTCCAGTGGAAACAATTTCAGAACAAGCTGCTGTGTGCCGTTGACAACCTTCACGTCTATCAACTGGGCTAAACAATTTGCAGGGACAACTAGTTCCGCTGGTGCCACAACTGTTAATGGCATACCTGGCTGAACAGGTTCTTTTGCAGGGGACAACACTTCCACCTCAACACTTTTGTTCTCAAACAGACTGACTTCATTTGGCTCAGATAGGGTCATTTTTTTTGGAATACACACCACATCTTTTTGGTATTCCTTTGATTCAGGTAACAACATGATATTGTGCATTTTGTCTTTATTTGCATGGAGAGAGAATCCTGAAAGTTGATCTGACAACGTATTTTGAAATGTAGTCCTTGGACTGGAAACTTTTAAAAGCCCTGCGTTTTGTTTTGAAGAGCTGGCTTTTTGTGGCTCCAGCTTGGCAAGGGTTTTGGGTGGCCGTTTTGCACCTGCCCTCTCGTGTACTCTTTTCCTGTGCTTGACGATATAATCATTTCTAATAGCACCGTAGTCACAATACTCACACCGATAAGGGAAAATGCCTGTATGTTTCACCAAATGCCTCTGAAACTCTCCTTTTGTGTAAGAGATGTAGCTGCAGTGAGAACAAATGAATTTAATCTCTTCATGCTGAAGTGTGTGCTTTTTGTACTGCAGAGGGTCCTTTGTGGAAAATCGACATTTATCACAATAGTATTTGCCTGGCTTAAAGTTCCTTACCTTAAATTTGTTATTGACAGAACTTGAGATGGCTTCAGTTTTATTTCCAACATGAGCAGCACTGGGATTATTGTTCACAAAATGAAAATGGGGAGGAGCCACACCAAAGCTGCATCGGAAGCAGACATACTTGCCTTCCCTTTGGCTTTGCCCGGTGCCCTTTTTCAAATCTTGAAGAGGGATCTGATGAACACTTTTGCATTGTACACATGTAGCAATGGTCATTGTGGCAGCCTCTGCCTCTGAGCCTTGATACAAAAGTGTCTGCACTTCTTGTCTATCTGGTCGAGTTGCTCTGTTAGTATCAGGTTGTTTGGGAGACATGGTCAAGGAATTATGGCTGCCATTCATTTGCGTAGTATACAACTGCTGTCCAATATCCTTCATTTTCTTCATCTGCATTTCTAAAAAGAGCCGATAGAAAATCAGAAAGATTTCACATGATAAAATTCTTAGGAGGCACCCTTCAATACATTTTGTGATTGGTAGAGCAGCAGCTACTTCCTGGGAGCATACTTATCTCTTTTTATATACCGCCACAGTAGGTCCATGATACCAAAATATGATTGCTTTCAATTATCTGGTCTTCCAGGCAACACTAAAGGAAAACAAAATCATAAAGCATGATTAATACAAGAACTTAAGATTTAGTTAAGCTGTTACCAAATTTATTCTATATTTCAATGGCCTTGGGAATTTTATGCTAAATCTCAACATATAACACATGTGTTATAACACAACAGAGTTGGCAAACAAGCCTAAATCAAAAATATTTTCAAACTTAGCCCCCTAAAAAGCACCACTTTAGACCTACCATGAACACAGATATCCCAGTAGCAAGGACATCATAGCAGCCACTGAGAACAGCCTTCGATTAGTTAAAGTTATTTTTAAGTGTCAATGAACACTTCCTAGCAATTTCACAGGTATATTTTCATATTAGTCTCACAAAAACCTTGTACAGGACATCATCAGTTTTTGAACACATTAGTTATCAAGTGGTAGAGCAAGGGCTTTGGCCCAGGAGTTCACATCTGCTTCCACATTATAGCGTTGTTATTAGCTTGGATACCAGCTCTGTCGCCCACACACTCAAGTTACTTTCACAAGTGGTAAGAACCCAGCAATACTGACAATATTAGAAAGACAATCATTCCCTCAACAGATCATTGAGCATCTATCATGTGCCAGGCTTTATTCTAACCGCTGTGGAGCAGTGATCAAAAGCAAATCAGCCCCTACCCTCATGATGCATATACTACATAGGGGAGAAACATTATAAATTTATGTCAAATGGTGGCAAGACAGCTACTAAAAAAAATACTACAAAGCAGGGCACGGAGGTAGAGACACCTATGTGATATGGGGCAGGGTGGGTTGTGGAGGTGACGATGGTCAGGAAAGGCCTCTCACTAAGTTGGCACTCGAGCAGAGACTGGGGGTAACCAGGGAGGGAGCACTATGGCTGTCTGAGAAAGAGGTGTTTCAAGCAGAGAAGGCACAGGTCTGTGTGAGGGGGGCCTGGCACACATGAGGAACGGCAAGGAGGATCCAAAGTTGGAGCTGAATGAGCAAGGGACAGGGAGAGTAATAGGTACAGCCAGAGGGAAGGGGAGACTGGTCAGGGAAAGATGTACAACACAACACCCTACGGATGGGCTTTTCCTCCAATGAGAAGGGCGAGCAGGGGAGAGACTGGGCAGTGGCACGATACGAACTGATCTGTATTCCAACCACAGCCTCTAGCTGCTGTGAGGACAGGAGCCTGTGAGGGGCACAAGGATGGCAGCTGGGAGACTGTGAATGGCTTGGACAGGGGCAGCAGAGGTGACAAATGTTTTCTATAGTGCTCACTCTAGTATACTCACACATATGACATGGAACACAGTGACTAATTTCTACACAACCTTTAATGACACTTCTTTTTCAGAGTATATAGAACTAGGAGCCAAACAAACACCACTCTAGTTTGGGATGTGCTAAAAGCCTTTCTTTTATGACTTTAAAAAGCCACTTAAATCTTTTGAAGCTAAAGTTTTTCATCTGGCAATTAGAATTAAGGACACTTATCCAACCTCTCTGAGAGCTGCCGTGATAACTAAAACCCTAAAGAGGGTTGAAATTTTAAAGTCCTTCCACAAGTGTTAAGAGGCACACAGAGGCACTCAGTGTCTGTTCAAAGATGGGCAGCAACACAAGAGAGAATTAGCACTTCTTTCTGGAATGCTGCTCACAGGCCAGGAGCCACACATAGTCTGAAGGGCTGACTTGGGGGAGCAGAAAGGTTCTCTGTAGGGTCAGGAGAAACAATCGCTGCATATTCGGATATGGCATAAAACCTGCCCTTTAAAAGCAGCTTTGGAAAGTACCTAATAACCTATCATATTTGGTGACAAGCTGCATTTCTTCTGTGAAAGACAGTTACCCTCTTTCAAAAGCAATTTCCAGCATGCAATTAAGTCCGAGGGCATCTAGAGACTCAATCAGACATGCATAAATGTGCACAGAATACTTAGGTTTCAAGTGGATAGAGGCTTGTGGGGTTGCAAGGTGCTGTCTATCACCTCAGTGTTTAAACACACACCTATGCTAGGGGACCATGATTTTGGACAGGACACACGAATGCCCCAAACTGCCAAACAGGTAATCATGGGCAAAGACAAGGGCTTTCATAGGCTACTGCATTCCTGGTATTGATAACAGATAGAACTTTCAGGAGTCACTAGGAGAAGCTGACACATCCTTTATTTTCCAAGTTTGTAAAGTGGCTTTAATGTAGAGAGGTAGAAGTGACACCCAGAATATCTGCTACTAATCAAGTGACATCAAGCAAGCCACCCATATGCATCTGCTTGCTCATCTATACAACAAAAGGCTGAACTAGATGATTTCTAAGCCCAGAAATTTCACTTGAAATCACAGACTTTATCATCTAAGAACACTACTATCATCATGTTCATGTTGGCATTTTCATCAGATAAAACAGAAGCAGCCATGGCTGCAACCAGAACCTAAGAAAACCATAGGCCCAAAGAACGCAGAGACTTAAGACGGGTAATAAGAAGGATCTGGTCCACTGGTTCCAAATCTGGGGCAGGCTTAGAATCACAGCTAAAATAGACACTCCCTGGCTTCATCTCAAAACTAGTGAATCTAAGTCTTGGGGGAGAGAGAAGTGGCAGAGACTCTGTGCTTTATAAAAGCACCCCACGTAATCCTGATGAAAAACCAGCATTCAAAATCGCTGGTTGAAGCTTTCAGCAACATTTAAATCCTTAAAATATCTTTACCAACTGACCACACAGTTGATGCTCTAATATTCCCATAAACAGAAAACTCCTTCCCTTGACTCCGGAGCCACCAAAAACACCTTAATTTCTCTTGATAGACCAGTTATATTCTGCACACCTCTTCTTTTATCCAGTTCTTAGTTCTCAATTCTGTTCAAAAGATTTGAGTATCAGTCGATATATGTATCTCTGATCTACCAGACTCATAATCCTACTAGTGTGTGTGTGTGTGTGTGTGTGTGTGTGTGTGTGTGTAAAAGAGGAAAAAAAGCAGCTAATTAACTTACTTGCCTGGCACAACTTGCTTACTATTTCAACATAACATGTTATATATTAATCCTAAGAAATTCTCAAATAAATCATATGACAAAATTCCTCTATTTGAAGAATCATCTAAACCAGGATTCCATGGACACATTTTCAGTTTTTCAGCACCTTTCCCATCCTCCAAGATTCTTCAAAAAATCACAGAAGACAGTTTTGCTATTTTCTTTTTAAGTTCTTTTAAAAGTTATGGGGTGTTATTCCTTCTAAAACTGAAGACTTGGAGACTATAAGATAGACTGGATGGTAACATCATGTCCATGAGCAAGAAGTACAGAATGTCCTGATGGAGGGACATCCCTGGAGAATTGACCAAGGCAGCAACAGTGCCTGAAGAATGCGGAGTCCTCTTGGAGGTGCCCCTGTAAAACTTTCTCAGCAGTTACTTTGAATTAAGAACCCATAGGAGCAAGTGCCAGTATGAAGCATGACGCTGTGATTAACAAATATAGTTCAATGGAAAAGGTAGGGCTCTTGGGTCATGACTGAATTGTCACCTGATTGAAAAGTATCTTCTTGGCTTCTAAACTATTCTCAAGATAATGCAATGGTACTTACATTGCTACTTCCCTCAGTCCCAGTGACAAAGATAGGAAGTTTCTTCAAAACAAGCAGATGAGATTTTCTTTCACCTGTTCAACTTGTGTGGCTAGCGATAGGAAAAAACATCTTAGCTATAACAGTCGAAGACAAGGGTAAATGGATGCAGCAGCACGGAAGAATGAAGACTGCTCTGATGTTTGTATTTACACGGATACAGTCCTGTGGGCACAGGAGGCCTCCTGAGGAAGGGGCTGCCCAGACCCTGTTCCTTCCATTCAACTCCCTTCATCTTGTTCACGTCCAAGTACAACCATCTGAGAAACTTAGCCCTCCTTGACCAGGTAATGCCCAGTGGGCTTATGACCAAGGAATATAAGACACTGCAGATAAAGGGCCATGCATGCGTTTGCCTGCCGCACTTAATAAATTACTACTAACTCTGGCATTTGTGTGCATCTGCCTCCCAAACTCAGCACGCCTGTTAACAAAAGCCTTTGACCTCCTAGAAGCAGAAACATGTATTCTTTCTTTCAGATAATGTAGGTAGGCTCTCAAAAACACAGAAAACACTAAGTATTATTAACTCTGTGGCACAATAAATAAGATGTCCATTTAATATTAGGTTGTCTATTCTCCAAAAATTAGTTAACAGCATACAGTGAACTTTTAAATGTAGAATTATCTACAGCATCAGCCAAAGATGACTGCCACGCACCAAAGAGAAGGGGCGTAGCATGTCACAAATGTGTTCCTTGGACTGAGTCCCATCTTTCCTCAAAGTAAAGTCCTGAGAAAAGGCCTAGTATTCACTGTTGGTGGGTTTTATTTTTTATTTTCAGCTCACTTGGTCGGAAGACTTATTTTAGGGACATACGGGAAAAAAAAAATATTGAGTTTGAAAGAAAACAGTTGAGTGACAATGAAAACATAAAAGATTATGGAAGTTCTTATTAAAAAGGAAGGAGTTGACCTCTAAAGTGTCTGAAGCTACAGATTCTGGAATCAGATTACATACAGGGTTTAAAATCCCAGTTCCATCACTTTCTAGGTTTGTGATCTGGGGCTGTTTGACTCCTCACCTGTAAAACAGAGACAGCTATCGGTACCTACCCCATAGGGTAATCATGAGGATTAAATGTGATAATGTAAAAGTGTTTAGATAAGGTATTGACGCATCATAAGCTGTTAAAAATATTATTTTCCATTTTTTAATGAATAAATTCTGCCAATTGCATAAATAGAGGG